TTCTTAAACCAATGCAAATTCAAAGAGCCTTTCTCAGATTAATAGTCTCTATTCCATGATCCTATTTCTTTTAAAATATAATCCAGAAAATCTTAAAGTAACATAAATTGTTTTTTAAAAAACCAAGACCCATTATGGGGCGCAAATAATGATAGGGGGTTGTGTAACTACTAATACAGCAAACAGATGTAGCATTGCTATACTGCAGTGGCTACATATATTATACCCAACGTTAGATGTTTTTCCATGTCCACGGATGGAAACATCTTAGGTCTTTCAAAATCATATTCACTCTTTAGTCTAGCAATTATACAGATAAAATTGATATGATCTATACCTTTTCAACATATTTTTAAACACAATACACATTTTACTTTAAAAGGTTGATAGAAGAAAATTTCAAAGGGAAGAATTCCTTTGCAGAGGCTGTTGCCAATGCATGCATTTTCTTTGCTCAGTGTAAAACCAATCAAACAGTCATTAGCACACCTTGACTAAAGGCCTAATTATAGCCCTCCTGCTCTCCTTGGCCAGGACAAATTTATACAAAGGGAAAAGAATGATCTCTCCAGGTTGCAATCTAATTTGTATGTGATTGCGATGAAGTGTGTCTTTGCAAAATGTGTATCATTAGAACAACACACCACTCCAGACATCAAGGGGTTAGAAGCAGCAAAGTCCTGGCACCACATAATAGATAGGCTGAGATGCTGGGAGTTTGTGTTGTGAAGGTCTAGTGCCTAAAATTCAACAGTTTTGTTAATCCTATGCACTTAGTCTCTTGGGTTTGAGGGGTGGTGGGGTAGAGACTATAACAAAATATACCAGTCATTCATTCATCAGAGATTTGGAAGTGTTCACTACTAAAGACAATTTATTAGCTGTGGAGGTACCATTCCAGTCTAGAACGCGAGAAGAGAGTTTGCTTCTAAAAACCTTCCTTCCATTTTCTTTTAGGAGGGAGTATCCAAGACCGTTTATCAACTAGCTGCTGGAGAGTGATGCTGTTGTATCACAGAGCCCTCTAGTGGCAGAAGACACTCATTTCATCATAAATGTAAATAAAATAGTCAAATGTAAAAACGTTACAAGGTTTTTACCTCTGAATGAGCCTTTTCTTCAGCCTGTAAAATAAAAAAAGGAAAAAGAATTGAACTATAAACAATTAAGTGTCAATTCGTTCCACAAGTTTAAATGAATAAAATTATGTTGTGCATTTAAAATGTTATTTTGGTCTAACATAAGAATAAAGTAAAATACATGACATTATCAAATTAAAATAGTAAAAACAGAAACCTTTAGAGTGGTAAATGAATATTTCTTTATATACAAACCATATGATATTTTAAAAATATAGGTTATATGACTTATGGATATATAATATGTCTTAAAAGCAAAGTATAGAATTAAAAGAGAGAGTGACCCTCAGATCCAGAACATAAACATCAAAAACAAAATAATTATAAAAGTATACTCTAAAACAAGGTGAGTGCAGAAAACAATAAAAGAGTGGATTTTTTTTTCATATAGACCAAAGGAATGTACTCCATAAAATTAGAGATTTTTAGCCAAGACGTAGGAGTCAGACTTTATTCTGTGATTTAAGATCACAAGGAATGCCAAATAAAACCTGAGAAAAATATTGTACTGCACTGATAACCACAGAAAATCTCCTTATTAGTTTCTATGTTTACTTTTCCTAATGATTATTAAATAAGTTTATTGGGCTGTGAGTCAGCAAAACACTAAAACACCCAGGTGGCAAAAGTGGCTGACAGGATATGCAGATTATGGAAATGAGGACCGTGGTAGGACCTCAAGGGATGTTTTGGCTTCAGTTGCAGAAAACTCCTAGCTCTGTTTTTCTTCTTTGCATTGGGTTGCAAAATGCCAGAAAATGAGTTATGTGTGTCATTACATTTGGGAAGCTCCCTCATTCTGGAAAAAGCTGAAGAATGTATAATATTGCTGAACATTAGAAGTCTGCTCATTGCCTTGAGCAGATCCAACGCTGAAAAACAATCTCCTATCTCTTCTTTTGGGACATTTCCTTATTAATTGATGCAGAAGTACATGAACCACTTCCTATCTCTTCTTATCCTCCAGAAAACATAACATAAAACAAAGTAAAATAACTCTCAGGATATTTTTTTATGCATAAGCATCTCTTTTAAACTGAATTTGTCTTTCCTATATTTCCTCTATTCTTAAAAATATATATATAGTTAGTAAAACAGTGGTTAAAGAATAGCATGGTCAACTAGCAGAATCCTAATAGCCTTTATGAGAAAACTATGTCTTAAAAATAAACGCTAACATAAAACTTTAATGTTTTACATCTCAACTTTCCTTTCGTAAGTGAAGATTTACTATTTTAAAATTATAATAATTTCAAGGTTTCATATAGAGTTTGCTTTTTGAATCAGACATAGCAAAGGAATTTTAAGATAAAGATTTCATAGATCAAAAGAAAGCTGGAGGTCGTTTGTCTTGAGACATATGGCAAGATTAACTAAGAATATTTGGTTTCCCCCAAATTTTGCGTATTTGCTGCCAGTTTATTCTGTCCAAATCCTGCTGGTAGGCTTGCTGGGACGATATAAAATTGATGTTCAATAAGTAATTTCTGTATTTTTAAAAAGCAATGTATGCTATTTAAAAAAAATAGTCAAGAAAGACATCCATCACATTTTTTCATTAAAAACCCTGAATAAGTTACATGCATTAGTCATATGCATCATCATTACATGTTAATTCTATATATACTATGTACTATGTAGAATGACTTTCTTTTTGCTGATTTTTTCAGAACTATCTTTCTTTTTAACCTTTGCCTTCTTTCATACCCTGAGGCTAGCAACACTGGGTAGGTGTCACTATAAAGTTGAAGCAATGAGCCAGAATGTTAACAGTCTATTTCTTTCAGCGGGTTAGGCATGGGATTGATGACGTCATGATGGCATATGATTACTTGCCATTTTTAAATGTTGATTTTGAAGTTGGCCCAATATCTTCAAGGATGGTAAATAACATAAAACCCTTTGCCTAAATAAAAATATATTAGATATTCTTTAATCTGCAAGCTATTACTCAGCCATTCATTCACCCAAACTCACTAATTAAAAAAAATTACTTTAGTGTTACCTATGTGTTAGGAAATATGCTACAAGGATCCCCAACGAACTAACCATGGTCCTTGTTCTTATTAAACCAATACAAAATAGAGACCACGTATGAAACTGGTTCAATAAAAATTTTAATATACAGCAAATCAGAAAACATTTATTGCAAGGATCAAAAATTTATATGTTTCACAGGAATAGACATATAAAAAATAAAAAGAGCCCTAAAAAAAATCACACAGCCTTCTTAGGCTTTATTTTATTTCCCCACTTATCATAAAGATAACGAGGAGGATTTCTCTTCTACGAGAAATGCAACAGCACAATAATAACTAACAACAAACTGGCTTCAGTGTCAGGGAGAGAAAAATTGGTGGATACTGGGTCTGGCCTGAGACGACACACCACCTAAAAGGGGTGATGCCAGGTGACTAGAAACCTGCAGGAATCTCATTTCCCTGTTGCTAGACATTCCGATTACTTTAAAAAGGAACATGGAAATTTGAATTTTTAGGTAAAACTTCAGATTTCACAGTGTTGGCTTGGATTTAGGGTCTGTATCATTACATAATTGTTGGCCTACAAACTCTAAATTTGCCAAAGGTAACATCTCGGCATGTCAGATTGGGTCTGTGATTTCCAACCAGTTTGTAACTTCTCTCAATCTTTCTGCTCAAAAATCCTATAAGGTGATTTACTTAGCTTTATAACAAGACACTTTAAAAAATTTTACCAAATTGTAATTGGTACAGATTTCAAAAGTTAAAATTGGTAGAGATTTCAAAAGTTGAAAGGGTCCTTTCAAGTGGCTTTGCTAGATTGGTAATTTTGCAGGTAAATGTTCTTTGCAACAAGTCATCTTTGTTAGTTCAATATTTTTAATCAAAACTTACGATTCCATAAGTTGCATAAATGATGGTGTTAAACACTGTTTATACCCATGGTTAGCAAGAGCAATATTTTGCCTAATGATGGTACATAGGGTCTAAAAGTCCTCTATAAAAAGAATCTTATTTTTCCTAAACCCTTTAATTTTTTGATGAAGGAATACCATGCACAATTGTGTTAGGTGTACATCATGTAATTTCCAAAGGGGAAATTCACAAAGACTATGATATAAATGGTACTCCCTAGAACCACGCAATTTACAATGTTCTGTAATTTATGGAATATAACGACCCTGATCTTCTTTAATTATTGCAGAAATCCCTTGGGACAGATAGGATAGGTCTGAGCTGTTCACCAACTTTACGTAACAGGTATAGCTGAAAGAAATTCACCAACTAGCCTGATGTCACACAATAATTACTGAGAGAGTCAGGCAAAGACATAAATCAAGTGAATCTTTATCTGGAGTCCTTAAGGAGGAATGAAAAAAATGATAAACTGATTTTTCACTTCATGATTTAAAAAGCACTTTCACAGATACCTTTTCATTGCCATTTGAATCAGTGCACGATAACAGGGGACTGGAGAGAGAATCACTCCTCATCTTTGATTTTTCTCTTGATTACGCCTCCAAATATGCATTTATTTGAATTGTCTCACCACAGGCTGTCAGTTCAAGCATGTAATTCACATCATTTCCAGTATCACTATTTAAATTTCCTAATTTCCTAATAATATCCCCTCTGCATGTATTTTGATCACCTAATTCATTCTTTTACACTTAACATTAGGGTCTGTGTCATTATATAAATGTTGGCCTATAACTATGTGTATACAGTCTCTTTATTTTAATCTCTGTTCACATCTCATATTGTACTCAACACAATACTTACAATTGAGGCTTTCTAATTGTCCTTATCATTTTGACATCTGCTCCTATAAACCAGTAATTTTTAAAATTTACTTCCTTTGTTTCCTATAACCCTGCAATATCCAATAGAGTAGCCACTAGGCACATGTGTCTACTTAAATTTAAATTAATTAAAATCAGTTCCTCTTTCATACCATTCACACTGCAAATACTCAACCACATGTGGCTGGTGGTTGCTGCATTCGATAGTACAGGTATATTTTTGTTATCACAGAATGGTCTGTCGGACTCTGGTATATACTAATTAGCCACCTGCTTTTCCTCAACCCATGCTCTTTTTCTTCTTGAGTTTTTCTCGGGCTTCATGAAGGTAGTTTTTTATCCAAATGTTGTTTCTGTATATATTTAAAATATGATCATAACAATGCTGCATCTTTTGAAGTTATATAGAGACTTCAATGACAGGGGTTTAAGCCAGACTACATCTCCCTACAAGCAGTGGCCCTGGACCAACAGGAGGAATATTATGCCTCCACACAGTTTTTTTTGTGTGTGTGTGTGTGTGTGTGTTTTCCCAGCACATTTTTACATTTCTCATGTCTTTATCTATTTGCCTAAAACAGTAGATTTATCTAAATACTAACAGTGATATATAGACTTTACTGCTAATTTTATAGATTTGGTTGGCAATCTTAATCATTAAAAGGAGAAATGACAAGAAAAATATTGCCTCTACCAATGATAGTATGATCTTGAGTAACTCTCTAAGGCATTTTTATTGTCTAAAGCAGTAAATATAAAAAGAGGGCCGATTCATTTTTAACTTAATGAAAATGAGCCAAAAAATGATGATTGCCCTTAATGCTTTATTAATCAGTGATAACTGAGGCTTTAAATTTTCCATGAACTTTTCAATACAGGGTCAAGGATTATTCACAGTACTCAAGCCTCAGTGAGAGTCATAAACTAAAATGTTCTTCACTCTTACCTAGGATGAAGGAACCCTCTTATAAAACATAACTTCCTATAGATTTTTTTTTGGAAAAAGATGAAATTATAATAAGTGCACAGAAAAGTCACTTTGGTAAAAACAAAGTATAACTTCACACATGGGAAAATAAGCTGATACAGCCAGAAAGAGAAAGAAAAATACCACATGATATCACTTACATGTGGAATCTACAAAAAAAAAAGACACAAATGAACTTATTTACAAAACTTAGACTCACAGACATAGAAAACAAACTTATGGTTACCAGAGGGGAAGGGGGATAGGGAGGGATAAATTGGGAATTCAGGATTTATAGATAATAACTACTGTATATAAAATAGATAAACAACAAGGTCCTACTGTATAGCACAGAGAACTACATTCAATATCTTGTAATGGCCTATAATGAAAAAGAATATGAAAAGGAATATATATATACACACACATATATATACATAAACATATGTATGACTGAATCATTATGTTATATACCAGAAATTAACACACTGTAAATTGACTATACTTCAATAATAAAAAATTAAAAAAATAAAAAATAAAATGGAGAAAGCAGCATACAACAATCACCAGTCATGGCTCAGAGAAGCCAACACAGAAAAGTGGTCAACATTATAAGATTACAGTGGAGCACAGTACATGGTTTCAGGGATTCTGAGTCATACCCCATCAATTTATGAAGTTCAGTTCCCCATCCACTCACTGATTATAATGAGCACATACAAGTCAAGTGGAAGTACTTATGAATGAGCCATAGAAGGGCTAGTAGAGCATCTCCCGTCTTATCAGGGCTGCAATAGCTTGGAGCACACCCTCGTCTCACCGTGCAACTGCTGTGCTAACGTCAACCTATCTAACCTATCCATGTGCGTGCTTGGCAAAAGCAGTTTTTTCTTAGCAGCCAACACTTACCGTAGAGTAAAGAGAAGATGTGCTGGAGACCAGAGATAATGAAGAGCCGTGAACTGAAGAAAGGCAAAAAAAAGAACAAGAGTTGAAATAATGAAGTCTGCTCAGAACCACCAGGCCTGAAGAACAGGTGGCTAAGGAGATAAAATGACAGTGAGATATATGCATGAGAACAAGTCCACTGTCATTTTTTTACAGACTCAGATACTGAGACATGGGAAGGTCCCACACCTGTCCCCTAAAGCACCTCCTGCATTGTGTTACAGAGAGTTGACCAGCTGACATCCTTGCAGCATGCTCTGTGCATACTGAATACCAGAGTCAACTCCCACGCACAAAATAATCAGAAAGTCAGGGACACCTAAAGTTGCCATGAGAGTTTAAACTTTTAAAAAACTTCAAGTATTGATTTATTTAATCTCATTTTTATACAACAAAGGTCCAGAACAGTTCTTCCTCTTTTCTTTGAGGGGTAATATAGTTATTTCTGCTTATTCATCCATTAAATAAACATCATTCAAGTTCACACAGTGTGATAAGCCCTTGCTAGATCCCAGGAGTATAAAATTGAATGTCATAATCCTAGGAGCTCAAAAAGAAGTAGAAAGGTACATAACTAAAAAGATAATCACAAAAGGACCGTATAAATGGTATCAAGAGCAATGTATTGGTCACAAGAGAACACGGGGGAGGGAGTGCTTATGACCTGGTCTGGAGAGGCCTGGGAAAGCTGGGGAGGGTCATGTAGCGCCGATGAAAAGAAAGGGGTGAATTTGAGATCCACCAGGAAGAACCTCTTTAAAAGGGATATGGGTCAAAAGAGGAATGAGGTACGTATGACTCCCAGCTTCCTAGCTTGAGCAAATCACTCTGTGAAATATGGAAAATGTTAGTTGTACTTAAAAAAAAAAAGCACATTCTTTAACCTCTAATAACACCGGTGTGAACGCAGAGTGTCAGTGTGGTGCACCGGAAGGAAGGTGGTGGATGAATCAGTAGATCCTATTTTCAGTCTTTTCCTGCTACTTACTATCTATAGGGCTATAACCTTAACGTTTATGGTTCAGGCTCCTAACCTGTCACTATGAGCACCTGGCAGGGCATCAGTTAAGTTCCTTCCGTCTCTCTGCCCAGTAATGCCTTGATTTTAGACCATCATTTAAGAATCACAATAGTTCAGTATTCAATGCATAGACATCAAAAAGCCATCTTGCCCACGGAGGCTGGCTTTCAACAGCTCAGACGATTTAATCTTAATACATGGAAGGCAAGAATCTCCCAGCATATTAAAAGCATTATCTCTGCAAATGAGGCACTCTAGAAAGCCATCAGTATGCTGAACAAATAATTTCTCCAGTATTATAAGAACCCTGTTTGTGAAGAAAATGCTAGAACCATTTCAGAAAAGCAACAATGTTACATTTCAAATGAGTTATATCTTGCCTACACTTGCAGCAATCAGCAGGCTCTCACCATCTGTCACAGTGAATTCAGTGGTTTGGTTAATATCCCAAAAGGCAGTGGCGACTCTAGTCAACGGATTTAGGGCCAAGCATGTTAAATGTACAGTGGTGACCTGAAGACCAGGAGTCAACTTTCACAGCTGCCTAAATTTTAATCAGAAGGTACTTTAAATAAGAAGGTTGGAAGAGGGAAGAGAAAGGAACAGAGCTACTCTTTTCAACCTGTGAAACTGCAGATACAGAAAGCAGGGCTCAAACAGTTATGAAACTTGTTCAAGTTCATATCACAAATAAATGGATGACTAGAGGTTTAAACTCTGGTATGTTTCAAGATCTAGAGTCCTTTCTTTTACACAGACTCATGAAGGACTAGGATAGAACGGTTCATCACATATCTGATTTTATTCTCATCTATTCGAACTTCTATGTTTACTTTTATTTTATCCTTGGCTGACAGGCTCTATAATATGTGTACTACAGTTTTCCTTTGTGGGTACTTGTAAATCATTCATTAAATCAAAGACGAAAAAGCTCTCAAATATTTCTATTCGACATGTGAAGTTATACCGTTCAGAAAATAATACACATTTGAAAATCCATTAAGCCTCCAAAATTTTTCGAAGAGTTTTTATTACAGACTTTTCACATAGACCTTTACAACCAAAAAGGTATTTATTAGGCCAGGTGAGAATTCTATTGTAATGGATAAGGAAATGTAACTTGGAAATCAAAAAGTAGCACCATATGAATTCTAAAATGATATGATCATAAAAGCTAAGACCAGAGAGGGTTTCTGAGAATAAAAGTCGGCAGCATGTGGTTGTCTCATAAGAGAATTCTTCCTGGTTTATGTATCTTTCATGGTTTCTTAACTGAAGTGTCAAACAAAGCATTCACTCTGGTATTTGGCACACCTGTGAAGTTATGCAGATTTCTGTATGAGAACGCCGGGTTTATACTGAGCTGTTCTACAGCCAGGTATTAACTTTAAATACTGTCGGGCGTATTTCCAAATGCAGAATGAAACAGAAGGTAATGCAGACTAAAACTTCTTCCAGCTTCAGGGCTCCCCAGATGCGAGTTCTAGTCACTCACTCATTTACTCTCGAGGGAATGTCTGTGACGTGAATGATGTGGTAGTTTTCACGTCTGAGTTAACAGAAGCAACTGTATTCTCCCCCACCCCACGCCTACCTTCTTCCATGCTGTCCCTGAATGAGCCCGAATGGCTGATGGCCCGTGGCCTCTCCTCCAGAGATGTGGCACTCCCACAGAGCTGGGCGTCGTCATAGAGATCGAAGGAGGAATCCTGGGCTGGGATGCTGTTGGAACGCATCATGCTCGGCCCCGGAAGGTTAAACTGAGACAGACTGGTTGGGCTCACTGGAAAACAAAGCACACATAGCCCGTTAGTTCAGGGCTCTGAAATTTTCAGTAGCAGTTATCACGGAGTGCCTCCCCCTTTTTTTTCCCCCTAGCACTTTCATGGCAAGCAGTATGTCAATTTCTAAAGCAACAGTGAACAAAACCATCAAATCACCACTACTGATTTTGCTAGAAATAACATGGTATTCCCTCTGGCCATTATGAAGAAAAGATTTGTCTTCCTGGAGTCTGCACATTTCTTTATTTCCAGGAAAATATATCAATTTAAAGGGAAAAGCAAAAGAGAAAGGGACATAAAATACAAGAAATCTAAATTTCCCAGGAAGAAACTTCTGCAGCTTCCAGGCTATGACTTTCAGTCGTTTTGAGTTCTAAATTTTTGTCAGTTCATGGTTACTACCATCATTATCAGAGTTAGGTTATAATAGAGAAAAATAAAAATTATCTTTAAATGAACTACAATGTTGTGTACATGGTATCTGTAACTCATCATAAGGTTAATCACATAAAACTACTTTCTACTGTGTCTAAGATCAGAAAGCTGTGGTGAGACTGTCAAGAGTCACAAACCTGTGTTTCCAAAGTGGTACACTGAGTCTGTAATTTGAAATATGAATTTATTTACCTAGTGCCTATTCACAAATGGTTCTGATGACACTCAGCTTTTTAGGCCAACTGATAATCATCAATTCAAAGAAAGATGCAGCTGACTGAATGTGCTATCCCATTGGAACACAATACTGGTTAAAAATTTGGAATAAAAGCAAAGCAGAAAATGTAAGAAATAGATTTATCATAAGTGCTATGTTTAAGAAAAGCAAGTTGGTACAGGTACATGAGGACGCAGCCAGGAATCTCTTAAGATATGAAGAGAACTGGTGGGTTCTTTCAAAACCTTGGGGAATTCATGTCTTTGGCTTAGAATCAGTCTGACATCATTTCAAAATAATGGTTTTTTTTTTCTTTGACACAGGCACTTCATTTCTTAATGTAATTACTGGATCTCAGAACAACGTAAAATAGGAGGAATATATACTATGAGACAACTTAAGGAGAGTATCTCCTAGTTGCCAGGCACTCTGCTGGCTATTTCACGGGTATGAATGAATTAATGCACAGAATAACTCTCTGATAGAGCTAGTTACAAACTGGAGTAAAGGAAGAGCAAGAAAAGAAACAAAAGACTAAGAATTGTATCCATGTGTGTTTATTGTGACATATAATAAAAAAAAAAAAAGAGAAAGAAACCATGGATTTGCAAAGTCTGCAACCCATTGGAAGCAGGGAAAAAAGAAGAGAAAGAAGGAAAGAAGGGAGAACAAGAAAGAGTTAGAGAGAGATTTTTCAGGCACCTTCCTTGAGCCAGCAGTGACCAGTTCATGATGGCTGAGGATGGCCCATGGATACATTCTGGACTTGAATATTTACACTTACGGTACCTGGATTGAAGTCGTTCAACCATTCCAGGTCTGCAGTATGAACTGACTTTTTGCCAAACAAATGAAGTGTCGAACACATTTGCAAGTACATCATTTTAATATATGTACTTAGAGGTTAGAAGGACAATTCATTCACTGTTTGGCTTTGCACAATTTTTACTAAAATAATTGCAGAGACATCCAAGTAAAGTGTCTTTCTGTAATTTCAAAACAGCACTTAGCTGGTTCAAAGTAAAATAGTAGTGAGGATTAGGGTGGATTTTAAAGGGAGCAGTTTGCATTTATAAGCACTTCTGATAGCTTCTCCGTTGGAAATATATGCATACTATTTAAGAACGATCAATTAGCTAAAATCTATGACAGGTTTGCTTTTTTGGTATTGTGGTTGGATAGAAAGATAGATATAGCAAGATCTCTGACTTCAAGAATGGCCTCTAGGGGAGATGATTGAAAGGTGAAGTTAATAATGCAAAATAGACCAAGAAAAGTTATATAATAGAAGACAAAACTTTGTCATAATATGACAAAGAAAATTTCTGTAATGGGACACAAATTAGTACAGGGCTTCTGGTGGCGCCTTTTCTTTCTATTTGCTTTAGGCAAATATCCCAAGCTCTACCCTTCAATTTCTTCATGAATTAAGAAACAATAGCAGAATCAATGGCCTCTAAGATCCATTCAAAGCCAGGAGATACGTAAAAATGTCTCAACAAAAGAGAGATATGTGTGACAATCTATTAGGGAAAAGAGGGCTACTGATTTTGTCTTAAATTATATTGCATACCACAGCCACGGTTTTCATTAATTATATGTTTATCTGTGGTACTTTGAGGAGAACAGGGACTGAAAGAAATAAGAAGTGGGTTTTTAAATACCTCCAAGTCGCTCCCTGATTTTGCTACCATATCTAGACATATTCGGGAGTTGATGGTATTGTTTTAAGAAGAGTTGTCATATGTAATCTGATTTTAACTTATTTTGTGGAATTTGGGAATATAACTAGGAACTAGGTGGAGATTCAGGAAGTTTTTATTTGATCATTTAAAGAACTTCAAAAAATGTAATATATCTAGTTCAGGCAGTTTCTCTCATTGATAGGTTTAGAGAAGACGCTAGAGCTGTCATAAGAATTGACATAACAGAGGAAAGACTGAGATACAGGTCTGTTCCAACTCTGGGATTCTGTGCGTCCGTGAAGATAGAAGAGAGGGCTTAATTCTGAACAGTGTGAAGGGTGAATTTGGAGAGGGCAGTAGAAAGGCATTTAAGGTGGAGGAACCCTTGGGAGTAACAGCACATGAATTTCCCATACAACGGTGCTTAAACATCACTCTGTATGCAAAAGGTTCATCAAATACACGGCATTTGAAAGTGACAGGTTGATAGTAATGCTTCTACATGGTAACCCTTGGAGCAAGGTGAAAAATGAGTGTGAGCAGCTGTCATCACTCATGAGAACATGACAGTGAGTCTCACTAGGTTCAGAGATGTCGAAAGGACTGTGACCAATAGTAAGTGAAATTTTATCCAAAACTTAATTTGTTTTACATAAGTTATAGTTCGATGTGCTTTCTTGGGTAGGGATGGTTTCTATGATAGCTTTCATGTAAGAAACTGGATACAAACCACAGTTAACTTCGGCAGTAGCTCACAGTAATCTACTAATAACAACATGATAGTAGTGATCTTAAACTTCTAATGTTTGTTATATATAATTTTTACAGTTATATTTCTAAAAAGTTTATGTATGGACATATTTTAATAGGTAAGGATAAAAAACATGAACACTGCATCTCTTGAACATTAGTAATAATCACTGACCTTACTGATCATTCAGAAAAAATAATGATAAATTGGAAACAACTGACGACCAAAGGAAACTGAAGGAGGATGCTACCCATATTCGAGTTACATCTGACAGCTGCATTTGATGTATTTTTAAGTTTAATAATAAAATGACTTTTATGTACGGTAGCATTTTAACAGTGTCAGCTTTCTTGTCTAATAAGGATAAGTTCAGGTGATCTGGAAATACAGCCCAAACTCTTAAAAAATATTTTTCATGTTTTTCACATTAGTCATTTTTTTCTCTTGTAAAATCATACAGCATTGAGATCTCAGAACATCTGATTTGAATCCACAAATGCTTATAAAATGTGGGTAGGCACACGAGAGTGTGCTGAAACGTATGGGAAGGACTTTCTTCATAAGACCCACTGGATGAAATGTTGAGAGACGTAAGATTAGAGGCAGTAAGAACAGTTTGAAATCTGCCACAGTTGTCCCTGACAGTGTAAGACATTTCATTCCAATAAAAATGATGATATAGCAGAGGCTAACAAGATTGATGCTCTCCTGAGTCTTGGTCACATTAGATGAGTCATTCCTCACTATGTAATCTAGGTAATACGTACCCATTCCACAGATGAGAACATTGAGGGTAAATGATCAGACATAGTAAGCAGTGAGTTTTTTCTTCACAAAAAAAAAATAGATTAGATAGATTGAATCAGAATAATAGCAATAGAGAAATAATGGGGTAAAGAGTCAAATATTCAAGTTAATGTCAGTGAATCAAAAGACTGACAGGTGACATGAGATAGCCAGCAAACTTAGCAAACTAGATGACATGGGTTTGATTCTAATGTTGTATAAAATTAGATTTTGTTTTATAACCCTATGACTCTATAAAAACATTTTAAATTCATTTTGTGAAGTCAAACTTTTTAGCTTCCTGCTGTGTTTTATAACTGCAACTCAAAGCAAAAGCTACAGCATCCTTTACAATTATGAGGCAAAGAAGTCTTATCTCTGTGTAAGTTTAGCAACAAAAACTTGGTGCCTGATGTATCTTCACTAGTACATATGAAACCATGAACAAAATAACTGTTTTTTCATTGCCCCAAACTCTCTTCTGTACAGCAGAAATAGTTACAATGGAAGAGAAATAGCCTGACTATCCCAACGGGGCAGAAAGTTGAAAAGTTCAAATTAGTAAAGAACTTGGACAGTCTGTTGATCCATGATTACAACAAATTTTTTTCAAGTGAAGAGAGAATAAATATTGGGACTACTTTATGTGACTTTGCAGAAAAGAAATCTATTTTTAAAAGCATTGGATCTATTAAAGGATAACTGGCATGTTTAGACTTTCATTATTTCATCACTCTCTTCCCTGTGTTTTCTATGACATTTTTACAAATGATTTTATATTTCATATAAATTATGCTAAGCACAAAGTAACCCGATGGCTGAAATAGTCATTTTTTTTTCCACTGCATTTATCCAAAAATGTTTACAGGGTACTACCTTAATAGGATTTCTCATATGCATCTTAAGGAGAGTTTTAATTTTCAAACAGTAAAAGAAGTAATTGTGAAGCCATGGAATCACGTACTTTATCTTCTTCTTAATTATTTCTATTTTTCTACGAAAAGGTAATTCATTTTCTTATAAACATGCAAAAAATTTAAACAGAAAATAAGGAGATGTTTTCCTAGTTTTTAAGAGGACTCTGAGAAAACCCCTAGGTTTAGCGTCAGGTGTTCTGGCATCAGTGAGCCTTTTTTTTTTAAGTCAAATAATCTCTTTGTGTCTCTGGATCCCAGACTATAAAATAATAATGGTCTTACCTATGTCAGCTTGTTGTCATGAGCAGTAAACTACAACATGTTTTGAAATTATTTAGTGGATAGTAAGCATCATACAAACAAAAGGTACTGCTATGGTTTCTTTTATCTCCTCTTCAAATGAATGATTTTCATAGAGAGATGCCAGGGGCGCTGGGAGAGTAGGTGATGAAAGGAACAAGATGAAATGGATGAATATTTTACCCAAGTTGGAAAAGTGGTATTTTCCTGTTGCAGAAGACGACATGGCAGAAGGGGAGACCAGGGGTGACTGACTGCCGGTGTCCTGCAGCCCTCCAGTGGAATGCGAGCGTAACCACTCTTTGCCCTCTTCTTGGTTGGCCTGCCGAGATGACGGGGTGTATCTGCAAAACAGCACAGCTAAGACGCTTAAGCACATCTGCAAGGGCAAGGTAGTATCAGGACAAGAACACAATAGAGAGGAGCTGACTATTCAGACTGAACAACATTCTCAGACAGATTGAATCTAATTATAATTGCTTAGTTCTTCCAGATGATTTGACACCATCTGTTTGAATCTCACAGGGAAAAAAAAATAAAGGATTTTGAAAAGAAAATTATGCTTCTGTGAGATATGTAGTTGAAAATCATGAGCAATGAGCAGACAGCCAGGTTAATTGAGAGGAGCTCAAAAGCACACTGTTCAGAAGGATGAGAAGAGGGTGAAGACATAGGCTCAATATGGTGGACAGGAGTAGGCTGGAAGCCAAGGCAACGGGAGTGATGGCCACAGCAAGACAGAGGAAATAGAATACAAACTGACAGATCTTTTTTAAAAGAAAGGGAAAACATTTACTTGGTTAAAATGACACTTGACACCATGTCTGGATTTAAAAAAAAAAATGGAGAGAAAAATGGGCTTACTTTATTAAAAAATAAATTTCTGGAACAAAATTGTAAAATGGAATAATTGCAAGCTCTTTGCTATTGCTAAGGAACTGGAGAGAAGAAGGATAACAGACAAAGACCTATTTGGCCAGCATTCAATTTCACCAGAGTAAGTAAATTCTTGGTACTAAAGAGCAGTCAACTTATTGTGTTCATATGGTGTTAAATCTCTGTTAGTAGTTCATTCTGTATTTTCTAATCAGATAAAAGTATACAATAAAGGATGGCCACGCGTTCAATTTGCATTTCCTTTTTTATGATGAACTGAATAGTTATTTTGAGATTATGATGTGATATTAGACTAATTTGTGTCTAAATTGATCTGATAAGATACCAGCACTCCAGAAAAATAGAAAACAAAACTTTTGAGTTTTTACCAAAAGGATTCTTTAAAAATTCATACCTCAGTTACCATATGTGTCCTCTGATGATGAAAACAGATTTTCTTTGATTCAAATTAGAGCATCCTTCAACGTTTCAACATTCACTGGCCATATATGTGGACTATGTGGGTTGAGGTTTTATAAGCATATGCCTCCAATGTGTAAACGTTAGAAAAATCCACTTTATTTTAATTTTCAGAAGTGAGTTCTAAATTCTATGAAAAGTTGCTGCCCCCAGAATAATGGCTTTTACATTAGATTTAATTTCTTGACTTTTGGCCTCAATGAAAATCTCTACCTGAGGGCTATCTCACCAACTCCTCAGGCCAGAGAAAACATTAGGATTGAAAGCGATTTCATCCTCGATGTCAGGTGCTTCTTTGCAAACAAAGAAAGAAAGAAGTAAAGAGACAGCACACAAAATTTACGTAACAACAGAGAAAGGCAGCAGTGGTGCTGAGAGAAATATATACCTTAGTCCCTTTTTGGGTAGTGTATTTCTGTCAAGCTGCATGCTGTTAAAACAAAGAAAATCCCTAAGGACATAATGTAAACAGAACTTCCAAATTACACATCCAACATAAATGGTTCTCTGAATTACACAAAAAAAGGTTCTTTTGGTAACACATATTTAACGCTCAACTCATTGGAAAAGGCCAACCAAAAGAGACCAGATGTCCATTGTTGTCATACATTCAATGATTATGTAGTGACAGGACTATCAGAAGATAGATTGAATTATATGTTAACATAATTCTCCTCGAGATTCCATACACCCAGTGCTTTGGCAGTTTTTCCTTCCCCATGCCAATCACTAGACCTCTGCTGCGACTGCATGTGCAGGAGAATCACAGGGGTGGAGATGAGGAAGATCTTCTCTGCCTAAGTTAGTGACAAGTTCCAATGGACAGAGAAGGTGTAAAAAATGTTAATACTTATTTTTTGTATTTAAATGATCTTTAATAAAAATAAAGGCAGACGTATTGCCATTTACCTATAAGAGAATAAAGATAATACATATCTGCTTGAAGTATAAGCTTGCTTCTGGTATCATTTATTTAAATATTCTCATGAAATTAAACTACGTCATCTTTTAGAAATTATAAATTAGATGTTTAAAAGGCTGTAAGTTTTCAGTCTCTATTTTAAAGAAGTTTCCATTGGTCCTAGAAAGGGATGAAAGAATGTGTCTGGAGAAAATGAGAAATGGCCTCTAAAAATAGAGGAAGAGGGTGGCAATAACTAAGTGGAACAAGTCTAGGGAGTTCTGTCATAATCTCTGGGTCACCAAAGAGCACAATTAATTTGCATTTGCAGAATGATAGCTCTCTTCCATTAGAACCTCAAACAATCAAAATTAAAAACACAGGATATGCATAATGGGGATGACATAACATGAATGCAGACATATTGACTTGAAATGTAATCACTCAAAAATCAAAGCTAAAATGTTTTCTTCTATGTGTGCTCTGTTCTTTAGCACTTCAACAGAAAGCATCCAAAAGCACCCTACAACTTTTATGTATCAGAAATGTCCAAATAAGGTATATTGTATACAGGCCAGTTCTGGTATATATCTTGATTACAGAAGTGTTTTTAGTGGTGTGGATAAACCAGCAAACAGAAAGGAATCATACTGAATAAATACGAGAACTTTAAATATCAACTACATTATGCTGAAGCATTAATAAAGTCATAGGCAACTTTAAAGATGGTATTGTTCCCGTGTGAAAAATTTTTAAAATTTAACCTTACAGAGGACATTGAAAATAGGCATTGTTTTGGCCGTGCTATTAATTGGATAAACATTATATGTTCGTATGAGGCAGAGAATTTAATCAAATAAAAATCAGGAAAAAACTGTTTACCAATATAAGTTAAAACTTTAAGTAGAAATATGTGTTTGAATCTGCATATTAATAATTTTATAATACAGATACTTTTCTCAAACCCTAAAAGGTCAAAAATGTACATGCCTGCAGGAGTCAAAAAGCAGTGGGAATGCGTGGAGAAGGAATTTTAACCAACAGTCTGAAGACGCTGTTTGCCTAAAGCCAGGAGATGCTGTGCAGGACTGTAAAGGTGGGGCAGCCAGATCTGATATTTAAAAACAAGCCAGAAATTTGTAAAGTTGGCTACAACTATAAATTACTTTTAAATTTAAAACTGAAAAACAAAAAAATTACTTTTAAGGTTCGATTTGGTCACAAAGAACAAAACAAACAAAATAAATGAGAACTAGTGATAGCCAACGCCACCAATAAATCTAGAGTAGTTAGAGAGAATATCGTTAAAGAATTCATTTGTTTGTTTATTTACGATATTTTAATGGGGGGAAATTTAAACCAAAATTAAAATTTTTATGAAAAACTGTTGATTTACTAGTACTAGAACCTTGAATACCAATAAAGTATTCTGAAATTGTAGATAAACAGGTAAGTCATGAATCTGCCTACATCTCTATTGCATCTTTCTAATTATTTTGTCTTAAATATTTACTCTTTAGCACAGATTCCCTCAAGTATGGCTCTCTAGTCTCTGCAGTGTTCCCAATATTCTGCGGACTTAATTATAGTAAAGCTAGGATCTTTGATACAATCTATTTTTCTCTTCAACAGATCATAAAGTTCTCGGGGGTACTTTGAAGGATTAGAATAAATTGCTTTGGCTTGCAATTTTGTTCCCAGGAAAGGAAAAAGTGCAGCATCTTATATTAAAAATTATTTCAATCCAGTAATTGATTGGAAGAAACTAGTTACTGTTCTGTCTTATATAATATACCTCTGGAGGTAATTTGCTTTTCACAGTTTAATATTCATCAATATGTTTTACTAAGAATCAAGTTTAAAGCATTCATTTATTCAAGATTAGTTTATTTAAAGTTTATTTTAGAAAAATTCTTGATCTGGCTACTTACAATACTAGAATCCAACCATTTGTAAAACTGGTCTATTTCAAAGATTGAAAATAAAAATTAAAAAAAAATTGCCTAAAGAGAATAGGTAACTGTATACTTTCCAGTGTGTTTCTGTAGTGAAAATATATACTGATTTTTGCTAAAATATAGATCAAAGTAAACTATTAACATTGCATTTATATTATAGCTATAAAACTCATTAGTCTTACCATCCAGTTTTATTTGAGGGTTACTTGCTTACAAATAGTTACTTGACCATTTTTCTCTGTTTTTAATGTATGAATGTCAAAGAAATAGGTTGATGGCTAAATGGTCAACTTGCTGCAGTTACATTTATGATTAAAAAATCATTAGCATTTTGGAAGGTGATTCTGGTTAACAGATCATAACCTATTTGCAGCATGCTTAGTCTGAGGTGACATGCCAATATCAGTCATAGGCCGAACAAAAGTTTGGGAAAGGTATCAGGCACTTTCAGTGACCAATGGTGCTTTTACAAATAACACAATAAAGATACATAGCCAAGACCATTTCTGAAAACTTTAGGTGTGGCAGGAAACAAAAACAATTAAGTTCATCAGGGAAAAAGGGGCAGTTTTAAGACATGCTCCTAGTGGAAAGAGTACCAAAATACCTGAGAAATAGTTTTGGGGGGAAGAGTATCTGGAGCCATCTTTGATGCCTTCTGATAAGTCTGCTAGGTAAGGAATGCCTCACTATGTTCTTCACTTTAAGTTTAAAAGAAAATAGTAATTCATTAAATTAATGGGAAACATCTCAGAAAGTGGTGTCTCTTCAAAGGGCCTATTAAAGAGTCACTGGTGTAATTTTCTCTAAGATTGCATATCTGACAACGGATCTGTTTGCTAGTTCAACTAGGATTCCCAGTGACCCATTTGCTATTTTTCCACAGAAATGCTAATATAGCAAATTTAACATTTCACTCAGAGCACCATTTTAACTTGGACTTGAAAATGCTGAAATTATCTGGAGGAGATATGCTGTCCTGGAGCTGAGGCCAAATCACTGATACGTCTCGAGAAAACATTCAATACATAAATACATGCTTTGAATTGTATTCAAATTGCCTATTGAGTGTGTATATATGTACATTCACATTAAGAAACTAATTATCCCATTTTCTTATCCTTAAAGGTTACTTCCTTCTGCAATCTCGGGAGGAAGCCCATACAAAGGGCCCAGTCGCATCCATCCTACGTCCCTTTGCAAGTGGCACTCCCACTGAAATCAAGGGAACGTCACAGGGGAGGGGGGGAGGCGCCGTGCAGGGAGGAGGGGGTGAGGGCTTCACGGACGCCTCCGGGAAAGCTCACCTTTCTGAGAGAGTAGATCTCACACTACCCGTTCTCACGAGCAGGCTCTGCACCTCGTGGGTGCCTGTGGTCAGTCCAGACAGGGAGCCATGGTGGCTGAGGGGGAGGTCAATGGACTCCGAGCTCGTGTGGAGGCTAGTCATGGACTGGTAGCTCGGAGTGTCCTTGCTGCCAGCAGAGGAACTGCTCAGGTTGGCAGCCCACACGAGACCACCCGAGGCGAAAGAGTGAACCGACGCGGGGCTGGAAGCCAACGAGTGACTTAAGCTTATGACATCTGTAGTTAGGTCTGAGGGCTTATTGAAGAGAGGGCTACTGCTGCCACTGAGCCCGCCAGCGCTGCCCAGGCTGCCCGTGCCGGACGACGGCGACTCCAGACTGCCTTGCCGCGCTAATGTGGTACTAGGACTGGGCATTACTGGGGAGGATTTCACACCCTCCGTGCTAGGTGCGGAGGCAGATTTGCCACCTGCCTTGGCCCCAAACAACCTAAAAGAAAAACAAATAACAACTTCAGTTGTTCCGAGACACTAACAGCCACATTTCATATTTCGGGTTACAGTACACAGAGCCAGGTGCGCTTCAGTGGACCCAGCACCGAGCGCTTCCTGTCTCTGTGTTAATGAACTTGAGAAACTTGAACTTCTTTATCCAGTGCCCCAAATCTCTCCTGTCACCATAAGGGTAAGTCAGCCGGTACTGGGCTGTACCCCTCGATGGTGGGAGGACACAGGCCAAACAAAAGGAAACAGAGCTCAAAAGTGGAAATCCCTGGTTTGCACAATTAAGTGTTCATGAGACTTTTTTTGCAAAGATGAAATCGTTTGACCACATTTGTTGTTACCTATTTAGAGAACCATTATAATGAAACAACTTCTACGCATTCGGTATATGACACTGAAATGATTTTTCTTTCTTTCTTTCTTTCTTTTTTCATTTTAACAGTTTTTCCAAAATCTCAAAGGAATGCTTAAGGCAAGGTTTTGGAGGTTATGTTGTGTAGCTGGTGGCCTGAGTGGTTGTCAGAGACTAGTTGGTTAGAAACAACATTGGATGTTGTTGGCAACATGTTGGTTTGTCTATTTTCCCCAAGAAAGACCAAAGGGTTTTATGTCAGTTGCCAGTGCTAGTCAAATACATATTTGCTTTTCCTTTTTTTTTTTGGGTAGAGGAGGTAATTTGGTTTATTTAGTTATTTTTTTTAATGGAGGTACTGAGAATTGAAGCCAGGACCTCGTGCATGCTAACCATGCACTCTACCACTGAGTGTACCCTCCCCGCCTCAAATATATACCTTTAAGAGTGATTTGAAACACAGTTGGTGCTAAGTTAGATGTTGGAGTTTAGTTCAGAAAACATTTTAGTTTTGCAAATGAAGCAGATGATATAATTAAATTTATGTAAATGTGGAAATAAAGTGATATGAAGTAATGGCATAATGATTACTAATTAAGCTGCAATGAAATCTGTATTTCCTATAGCAAAATATTTTATGACGAATATGAGAAATTGTTTCATAGGTAATGGGCCACTGGAGGGCACTATTGGCTTTTACTTAAGCAACAGAAACAGTTATTCTCACAACAAAGATTATTCTTTCCAGTGAGAATCAACATTTCAAAAAGTCAGTTCTTCAGCATTAATATTTCTACTGAGGAATCTAAAAACTCTAGGTTTTTCAAACAATCATGTACTGAGATTGCTTGAAATGTAAAAGTAAATGTCAAGACCCTCTATTTCCCAGGTATCAAGGCTCTTGATTTAGTCAGCATAATAAAAGCAAACATTAAAAATATTTAACATGTAACAGACTATAAATTATACTCTATCATTTCATAGATGGGGAAACAGACCTAGAGAGATTTAACTATTTGTCCCAAGTTTTAACAGTATGTATTTTCCTGCCACTTAAAACACACCAGTATTTAAAAACAGGGCTATCTCATGGCAGAATTCTGCACGTTCAATAACAAAGACAGTTTCTGTGCAGAAACCAAGCCTTGCTTGGTTTCTCAGAGTCATAGCAAAGAAACATGACGAAGAATTAGAAAACCTAGCCCATTCCTTAGTTATAATCTTGTACCAAACATCCAAATGTTTTCAAGTTCTGTCAGTCATACCATGCCGTGATTTTCATTAACATGTCAAGACACGATACTGTATAAATCTGTCCACTGTGACCTGGTACTGTGCAAGGGATACAATTTCATCCACCGTCGTGATCATCAGCTCATTAAGAGCCAGCAACATAATAAATACTAGAATGAATACCAACAGCCATGAAGACTTATTTGGTTTGATTTGATTTTTAACTGTGGAAAGATGAAAATCTATGGAAATTTTACAAGCTACTGCTTTATTTTATCACTTCCCCTAGGTACTGCCATCTGCTTTCAAGTCTCTCATGAATGTTGTTTCTGGTGCTAATACTGCAATGATAGCAAGACTGCAAAGTCTGAGCATTTCTCACCATGAGCCGTATTTTTTCACTAAGCTATTGATATCATCAGCTTCTTAAAACTCGTACTCAGAAACTAAGTAAGATTCTAAGATATATGTATCATAGTGTGTATGTGTGTGTGTGTGTGTGTGTGTGTGTATATATATATATATATATATATATATATGACATATATTTAGGATATATACTTATCTTTTATAGGATAGTATATAGGATACATCTATACCCTGAGGTACAGCATTTTGTATTTTCCCAGCATCATCTGACGCATTCTTACCTTCGAAATGTCGGAGAGGCAATGTCAGGATACTTGGATCCTGGCTGCCGGAGCCCTTGGGTCCCACAGGCACTAGCAGATGTGGGGCTGGATTTGGGGGAACCTGACAGAGAAACACTCTCTGAATCTGAGACTGCTACTTTTTCCTTCTCCTTGTCCGTCTGGTTGACAGTGACAGGACTGGAACGCCCCGACCCAATCTTGGTGGGTTCTCTGAGTTTTGAGGTGGTGGCCCCGGCTGACTTGCTGCTGACGTTGGAATCAATGCTGCTGGTGCTGGATCTGTGGCCACCTCTGCCCGGGATGCCGCTGGGGCTGGATTTCGAAGGGCGGGGCAAGCTGCGGTACTGGAGGGAAGTCTTGGAGCTAACATGCAGCACCACATCATCCTGATTCTGGGAGCCATCCAAACTGGTTTTCCTCCCCGCACCGGCCTTCCCACCGATGGCGGCAGATTTGGGGATTTTACCCAGCGTTGCGGAACCGCTCGTTATGGCGGCTCCACTGCTTGTGACCATCGGAGATGACCCCACCCCGCTTGGTTTCTTAAACCCGAAAGAGCCAGTGGCCGTTGATCGTCCAATGCCCGAGGGCGGCTTTTTCCCCTCATCCCCACTGCTTTTTCCTGCATCCGAAGGAGACCTCTGTAGAGACGATCCTTTCAGGGGAGTTTTCCCTTTCTCAGAAGCTTTGGCATCATCGGTTTTTCCTAATTAAGGAGAAATACACAAATTCATATAACACTCTCTTTTTTCATCAAGTCTAATTCAGACATGATGTTTAAAAAGTTGTGGTAGATATGTACAATGGAATACTACTCAGCCATAAAAAGAATAAAATAATGCCATTTGCATCAACATGGATGGACCTGGAGATTCTCATACTAAATGAAGAGAAGGACTAATACTGTATGATATCACTTCTATGTGGAATCTAAAAACAATGGCACAAATGAACTTATTTACAAAACAGAAACAGACTCACAGACAGAAAACAAACTTATGGTTACCAGAGAAGGAAAGGGGGTGGGAAGGGATAAATTAGAAGTTCAGGATTTGCAGATATTAACTACTATATACAAAATAGATAAACAACAAGGTCCTACTGTATAGCATAGAGAACTATATTCAATATCTTGTAATGGCCTATAATGAAAAAGAATATGAAAAGGAATGTATATATGTATAACTGAATCACTATGCTGTACTCTAGAAATTAATATATTGTAAACCGACTATACTTCAATAAAAAAAAAAAAGAAAGTGAAAAAAAATGATGTTTCATATCTCCAGCATTCCAACCCTGGAATGTGACTGCTCTTGCTTCTCAGAGTTGGAAGTGAAATGCAGGTGCATAGTTAAAATAAGTATTCCAAACTTTCATAAGAAAGTCAGAATGAAAGCAATTTTATTATTATTATTTTTTGAATAAGTAGGCTTACTGGACTTCCATGTCACCAGAAATGACTCTGGCAAAATAAAGACCCTCACCAAATTAGGATGGTGCTCTGTGGAGAATGCCTGGAATGCTAAGTTTATGTGGACTTCCATGATAAAGCATGTGAAATTTAGACAGAAAATATTAAACAGTATGAAGAATCTGATTTAATTAAGAAAAGCTACTATAAAGACAACAAAGATTGAATGGAAGCAATAAATGAAAACAATCTGGCATAACAGCTGCCAGAGACAAGCCTACCAGGGGTCTTGAGTGCACTGGTCCCAGCTTTCTGCCTAGATGGCGTTCCTCCTTGGGCGGACATGCCCCTCCTCCAGGAACCTGTCTGTGAAACAGACAGGGAGGTTTTCTGCCCCGCCTTCTCGGGGTCTTCAGGAAGTCCGGCAGAAACGCTCTTCCACTTGCCACCCCCATCCCCCTGGCTATCAAAGTCCTCCTCGGTTTTTTTCAGTTCCTCTGTACTATCCCAGGGCTCCTCTGCTGCAGATCGTTTTTCTGAATCGGTCTTCAGCTACGAAGAAAAAAAGGTGACAGAAAAACTTTGTGTAGAAAAATCTATCAAGCACTGGAGTGTACTTTCAGATGACTGGTTAAAAAAAAAAAGAGGAACAGTGATTTATATTTCAAAAGAATTCCAGAGACTCCTCTATTTTTATCTCTGTCTTCATTTAAGTTTCATTAATTTTAGCTGTATAATTCTCACTTGCACATATTAGAGAAATGTCAGGAGAAATGTGTGCAGAAAACCCCAATTAAGCACTCCAGAGAGGGAGGCATTTTTTATGTCAAATCTAACAAGGAGAAGTAAGACAAGATAAAACTTAATTATGTAATATCCATTCTCGATTCATCATTCTCAAGAGGTCCAGCAAGGCATCTCAGAGATCAATATAAAATTAATCAAGTAAAGTCCAAAATTAGACTATTAAAATCAGTTTTAGATTCCTAAACAAATATATCAATATTATAAACAAACATATGGCAACAGAAGACACTCTGGATTAGATTGTAATCAACTGAAAAATTGTATAAATAAGCTGCTTCATTTTATGCAGAGGTTGTGCTATATGTCAATGCAATGTACCATAATTTTTGGAAAAATCTGGCAGAAGCACTGGAAAGAGGAAGAAGGTGATTCTCACCTGAGTGTTCTTCCGGGAAGGGACTGTGATGTTGGAGTAAGAGCTGACTGAGGAAGTGGTGTTCAAGTCATCAGTGCTGATGTTATCCAGGGTGTCACTGAGACCACTGCTCACCGAACTGCTGTCATCCCAGCTAAAGACAAGACACACAGCAGCGATGAACTAAACACAGGATGCACAATGCAAGTCACCCATATTTCCACTTAACACGTACCAGGCACTGGGGAGAGAATTCTTGTTTTTTTCTTCTTTCATTGAAGTATAATCCAAAAATGGGCAGAAGACCTAAACAAGCATGTCTCCAATGAAGACATACAGATGGCCAAAGGCACATGAAAAAAATGCTCAGTGTTGCTAATTATCAGAGAAGCCAAATCAAAACTACAATGAGGTATCACCTCACACCAGTCAGAATGGTCATCATTCAAAAGTCCATGAATGATAAATGCTGGAGAGGCTGTGGAGAAAAGGGAACCCTCCTACGCAGCTGGCAGGAATGTAGTTAGGTGCAGACATTATGCAGAATTCTTGTTTTTTTCACTCTTTTGATGAAAAGTATTCACTGTTCCTATTTGGAAAATCATACTATTAAGAGCTGAGCGCAAATCTGAGAATAACCTTATTGAAAGTTTGCAAAGAATCAGTGTCTAGAGGAGATCCAGGGGGATGTTTATAGAATGAATAAAAATATCACTACAAATACTGCCTGGCATCAGGAAAGAATAACATAACCCATAACATTTTTTTTTCTCCTGAGAAAGCAACCAGGAGTCACAGAGCATGTAAGAATTCACCCTTTGCACTAAAAATTAAAACAAAACAAAAACAAAAACAAAATGGTGCTTTAGTTAGGAAACAGAAAGCCATTCTTCATTCTTTTCTCCTACCTTAGTAACTGCTTCCAATTATTCACCGAATCTTGAAGATTGAGGCTCATTCTATCATATCACCCCTCCTGCCACCCACCCCACAATTTCTGGCCTGGACAACATGTAATATCCTCTTACTGGCCTTGCTGCCTGCAGTCTTTCTCAATACAACTGCATCTGCTAAACGTGAGTCGATGATCAAAAATTCACATCTGGCCACGCCACTCTTTTGAAGACTACTCTTCAAAGACTGCTCTTTACCAAAGTAGTGGATTCCAAAATGGAATGCACCTGCCCTGTGAGGTACACAAAGCAATCCACTGGGGGCATAAGAAAACTATGTAAATTTTTGAATATATCTGTTCTTAACCTAAAGGAGAACTAATAAAACAGGTTATATGAATATTCACGCGCAGGCTAACACGGGTACCCCCACCTAGTCCGTGTGTGAGGTAACTCAGAAGTATTAGAATGAGAATGGGTGCTCCACAGAGGGAAGGGGGGACCACCAGTCTCTTACTTACTGGCTGGTTCTCAGTCTCTTGTGGTGTATTGCTGCCTTGCCTGCACTGCATTAACTGAATTCATGCACACCGGATATAGATATTAGATACAGACAACAATGAAGTCTCATAAAATAGACAAGTGGATTAAGAAAACCTCCTGCAAGTAATCCACACTCCGACGAGACGACCCGTGATGGAAGCACAAGCTGAGCACAGAGGATGGTGGACTGACAATTTTCTGACTCCGATACATGTCCTCCATGAGTCACATCGTAAATTAAAAATAATAGTGAGGTGCTGAGATCAGAGAGCAAACCAAGTAGAGAAGTAATTATCAAGAAGAAAATCTGAAATTTGAATTTATAGAAAATGTTGTTAATGATGATCCCTCCCTGGGTGTGTATCTTGCTTGAGCTATTAGCTACTGAGAGCATAAAGCATGATTACCAAACACATTTATAAATTATATTATCAATAGTGATTACATTTTAAGGAGAGCAAAAGGATATTTTGTACCACTGCACCAAATATCTGTCATTTGTGATTGTTCCAATCTTTTGAACACTTCCCTACATCTGATTTTAATAATTTTCCACATTATGAGTCTTACCTTTCCAAGATAGACTGCAAAAAACTCACATTTCCAGACTCCCTTATAGACAGATACGGCATATAACACAGGGCCTATCGTATGCACCCAGAGAATCACAAATGAGAAAAACAACCCTCAGGCAAACACAGTAGCAGAGTCATTCAATTTCTTGTCAGCACTGGCAGACAGATATCTGGTCTCTAGTTCCAAGGGTCACAGAACCCAGTAGAGGAGGCAGTGACACCCTGGAGCCGTGACTGGCTAAGAGCCTTCAAAGAGCCTGGTTCTCCAATCACCCCAGGTATTCAGAGAGCCTTCTTATATAATTGCATTCCTTAAATGAGATGAAGTAGATTCTGTAGTTTGCAACTAAGAATCTCTATCAATACATTCATAATTAAAAAAAAATTCTTTAATAGATCCTTTAAATTTCATGTTTATATATGTTATATAATACATATATTATCCTCTCACAGGAAGGCATGCATATAATTATAAAATTATAAATATACACTCTTGGGCAACCACTAGCCTAAAGCAAAGGTCAGGCTCCTTTAAAAGACATCGGGGCTTTCTATTAGGTGGCCCTCGTCTACCGCTTCACCTTAAATTCTTTACAGCCCCTGGCTCACATTCTGTACTTTAACTTAGAGCTACATTCAGTTCCCTTCAGTATCACATTGTTTCCAACCTCTGCCTTTTGTTATTTTTTGGTCTGTCTTTATTCTGAGCAGCAGGTGGGATACTTCCAGCAGCAGTAGTAGTAGTAGTAGTAATAATAATAATAATAATAATAATAACAACAACAACAATAATAATAATTTACAAAAGCAGGGATTCAGTGGAGCCGACTGGTTGGAACCCTTGGAAGCTCATACATAAACGCTGACCCAGAGCAGCAGAAAGAGGACTCCAAAGCCCATGAAGAGTGAGGCCACCGAGATGAGCTCTTTGTATCCCTAGTGTACTTGGTGGAGGAGACCTCATATATGAAGAACCAGGTGGTGAAGAACATGCCAGTGGCCAACAGCATCACAGTCAAATGGGGAAAGACTGCCGGATTCACTGGGCTGGGGCATCTGCTCATGGCCTCAAGTTCCATCTGGCCGGGCACAGGATAATCCACCACTCAGCTACTGGAAGAACACGTCGGCAGGAGCATCCAATCTCTGCCCTTGATCACGCTATCCTTTGGCCACCTTAACTAACCCACACTTACGAAGCGGTTCCAGCATCCCATCTTCTGGGGAAGCCCCTTTTACTCGCTGCTGTCAGGAAGCCTTAGGAAGCTCCCCGTCTGCACGGCCACAATACTCTGCACAAACTTACAGGACTGGATTTAGCACACTGTTTTATAAATCTATAAAAAAGGTGTCTAAATGGACCATTAGCCTGTGAGTTTTCTGAGTACAGAACTGTGTGTTATTTTTCTTTGGATTTCTATTATTTATGGTAATGACCAACACATAAATGTTGAACAGAGGTCTCATGTTTTACTGAGATTCAGAGAAAAGCAATTATGGAAGTATCCTTTCATACTCACATAAAATGAATTTTTAAGGAATGTTTAGCACAATATATTCAGTACTCAAAGAGTAAAACTAAACAAAAAGTTAAAATCTCTAATGAGTATTTTTAAAGTAACTATTTCTCTGGCAAGGAGGACAGAATTAATATTTCTAGTTGTAGCTTTTACCAATGTAAATCCTAGCAGTAACAACTAAAAGTTAAATGCAACAACTCTCACTGGGAATTAAAAAAAAAATTGCTTATGCTTTAAAAGCATTTAAAGTCTCAAATGAACACAAGGACTTTGGTTAAAATGACATAAATGAAAGAATCCAAAATAAGATATAAAGTTTTAATCTCTCAATAGAAAAATAAAAATACAACAAAGCAACAAATATAATGTCACAGACATGAAGAGCAGACGTCCAAATACAGCTTGTTGTAATGGAAAGAACAATGGATTCATAAAATTCAAGTCTTTCATTGGAGCCCCCTTTCGAGACTGCAGAGCTAAACTGTCCACTTAAACTTGCTGTGCTGATTTCCCTGTCTCACAGGGTTGTGTGGGAAGCAATTCCATCACTTACATGAACCATTTTATAATGCTTACAGTTTTCCATCTCCTCTGAGATCTCAAATTCTGCAATCTCGTTTTCGACCACAACCTTCCGTATTTCCAGTGCTCTGAAATCTACTGATTCCTAAGCTCGATGTCTGGTTTATAGCTACTCTCTAACATCTATTTTTCAGGGCTTTCTGTGTTGTTTTACTCCACTGAGCTCTTTACAAATGATGCAAGAGTCAAAGATGCTGGAACAAAAGGATCACTAGAGTGACAGACAGTCTAACTAGTCCTCTGTTCTAAGTACTTGCCACCCTAATGGTCTTCCATATCTGTCCTGACTCTGTGTTAATTAAACATGTTTTCCCCATCATCATTTTGGAAAATGGTGACTAAGTCAACTAATTAGAATGAGTAATTTAATAATATATTTATATTAATATCTAATAATTATAATGACTGAATGCATATAGGTTCAGGTTATTCAACCTCAGGTGATTTCTCATGGCTACTTAGAAATTCTGCTTAACACAACAGTGATTTAATTCCTATTCCAAAGATATAGCCTGTTTCTGTCTTCTTCGTCTGGATTCCAAGATCTTCCTCCTAATACCTTAATGAAAATGCTTCACTAAGGTCAATAAATTCATGAATTGAGTGCTTACTGTATCTTATTACTTTAAATACTTAATATATTATATATAAGCCTCCAACAAATGGATAAGACAGGCATTATAAAGGTAAAGAGGTAGGTGGAACGATGTGCCCAGGTTTCCATGATGCAGCTACGATTTGAACCCAGGAATGATGCCCTAAAGCTTGGTCAGCACTCTGCTTCCTTCCCATTTTCTCACCCCTTTTATCTTGAAATACACTAACGATGAGCTTTTACAGTCTCTTTGTAAAAACTTTGCTGGTCCTCAGAACCCTTTACTTTTTTTCCTCTTTGAGATTCCTTCAAATTTCTCAATATTCAGAACTTAATCTTAACTTACCTTAGATATTCTTTCTTGGAAATTTCCTTGTCTTTCACAACTTCAATATCACCTTCATGATTATGACACTCAAATTCGCATTTCTAATCCAGACTTCTTC